GTGTTTAGAACCTGGCTGCTGCTGCCTTCCATGTAGTGAAAGATTTGGTGGGATTTGTCTCAGCAATCCTGTCCCTCTTCCACTCTTCAGCAGCTACTGGTTAGCCCTCAGGGAAGCTGCAGAGTGTTTTTTTGGGATCTCTATCTGCTTTCCTGTCCTTCCCCAGCCATTGATATACAGCTCTGTGAACTTACGATTCTGATGTGAAGAAGTCTGGAGGCAAGACTGGAGAGAAAAAAGAACTATCCAGTGACCCGAAAGCTGGTAGCCAGTCTGTAGAGCAGCAGAGATTACTTGAGTCTGAACAGGACTCAGATCTCAAGCTGTGCTGAAGAAAGTTATGATCCTGCCCTCATAACTTGAGGTTTATGTTTGAGGCTGGTGGTTAACTGAATCTACATAAAGCCACAAAAATGACCAAGCTCAGCTCATCCACAGATTAGTTTGACTCAGCTCCTGAGTATAGTTGTCTGACTAAAGAAAGGGTGTGCATTATTTGGGGGGTAAATATTGTTTACTTCTGTCCTTTAAAATAATACTCAGCGTACAATGAAACATTACAAGAAACATGAAGAAGGAATAAAAGGTGACCCATGGTCAAGAAAAGAAATAGTCAATAGAAGCAGATACAGAAATGCTCCAGATGTTGAAACTATCAGATAGGGACATTAACAGAACTGTGATAAACACATTACAGAGTCTGTTGTAGAAGTTGGGCAACATGTGTAAAAGGATGGAAATTTCATCAGAGCAGTGGAAATTATAATAAAAAACAAAAGGAAATCTTAGAAATATGCAATATCAGAAAATTTTTTAAAATTAGATAGGGTTAATTATAGAAACAACATAGAAGAGAAAAGAATCAGTGAACTTGAAGACATTCAAAATAAATTATTCAAACTGGAAAAGAGAAGAAAAATCCAGAATCTAAGTAGAGCCGTAAAACAAGAACAAGTTCAACACATCCATGTATTAGTTTGACTTAAGTTCTAATCCAAGCTCTATAGGACAATATTAAATGATCTAACGTATGTGTAATTGAATTCCCTGAGTAAAGGTGAGAGAGAATGAGGCAGAAAAATATTTGAAGAAATAATGGCTGAGAATGATTCAAAATTGATGAACAACGTCAACCCACAGATTCAATAAGCCCTACAACCCTCAAGCAGAATATGTACAAAAATATTATACCTGCACACACTGTAGTTAAACTGCTGAAAATCAAAGATAAAGAGAAAATTTTAAAAGTATCTATGGGCGGTGAGGTGGAGGATGGGGAGCATGTGTTGGGAAAAGCACATTCCATACAGGAAAACAATTCTAAGAATGACATCTGACTTCTCATCAGAAATAGAGGCCAGAAGACAATGGGATACAAGAGTATATACTTTATGATTCCACTTATATAAAATCCAAGAAGAAATGAAACTTATCTATGTTGATAAAAGTTAGAAAGTCGTTGCCTCTGAAGTGGAGAATTGACTAGAATGGAGCATGAAGGAATTTGCTGTGATGATAGAAGCTTTCTATAGCTTGTTTTGGGTGGTGGTTACGTGGGTGTGTACAATTGTCAAAACTCGCCAAACTCATGATCAGTGCATTTTTAAATGTAAATTATACTTCTCTAAAATTTTTTTTAAAAGTTAAAAGAAACATAAATAGTTTTAAGCCAAAACATTAGTGATCATGTGATCTCGAGTTAAATTAAGCCCTGAAGAATAGCAAGGACAGCATGTAATACTCCCAAGTCGCAGGTGCACTATTTGATCAACACTCACTGTCTGACACTGAATGAATGCCCAGGATAGAAGATACCTCCCCCAGCAAACTTGTTTTAAAATAAAGAACTTCCGCATCTTATGCTGTTACAAACATGCCCGTTCCAGATACAGAGGGACCCATTCATATCTCAAATTCTCATAATCAAATCAAGGTGAAAATATAAAAGGTAAGATTTTATAAAAAAATATGATACTTAAAAACCCAAACTAATTCTTAGCATAATCATAATTTCACTGACATAAATACCTTTATTCATATATAAATATCATACATATATATTAATATAATATTATATGCACATTCTAAGTATATTTAATTTTATGTTCTGCAAAAATAATGCTAGAGATCATGATTTAATTAACATTAAAATAACTAATATAGCTCCTGTGAATCATTTCAAATTCTTTGGAAGATTAACTTCATTTTAATTAAAAAAAATTAAAAATTTTCTAGTTATTGACCAAGTACATTAGCAGGCTGAGCATTTCCTACTTAATGAAAATAAGCAGGCAAAATAACCTCATCCAAGACAATGAAAGGGATTGCTGTAAATGATCATTTGGGCAGTTTTGAAACTGAGTCATCATTTTATAAAGGACCCAGTATTCTGGGTCAAGCACTCAGAATGGGAAGTACTTTGGAATAATGAAAAGAATTAGGGATCATAAGTTGGGAGCAAAGATGAATTAGGACAAGGATGCTTTAAACAATTTGATGCAGAAGAGAGAAAGGGAAGGAAACTAATATTTACTGAATGCCTATTATGTTTCAGAGCCCTTGCTGGGCACTTTTTATGTTTAAGTCATGAACTTATCTCAATAGCCCTACAAATCTGGATGAGAAAGCTAGGCTCAGACAGTAGCTTTCTGAAGTTCACATGGTGAACATATGGCAGAACCAACTGACTCTAACCTGTGCTTTTGTAACTATCATATTCTGTATTGCCCAAAGGATATGAAGATATGGGAATTTAGAAGAAATACATTTCAGCTCAACAGAGGTAATAACTGTCTAATAATCAGTGTTGTCTAACCAAGAAACAGGCTGCCTTAGGGAATAAAGAACACTGTCATTACAGGTGTTGGAGCAGTATGTAGAAGATCATCTCTTATAGACTCTAGGAGCACAATTCTGTTCCTGGGTAGGAAACTGGAAAGATGTCCTCCAAAGCTCTCTCGTATCTATACCTTCACAGAACGTGCTGGTAGCCTAATGGCTTTTAAAAAACTACCACTACAAATGAAAGAAAGAAATGGAAAATGAAGCCAAGCTCCACGCCTGTGGTCTCCTTTAGCGTCACCAGTGCAATCTTAGATCAGCTGAGCTTCTCCTTTTGTGTGTCAGAAAACATGGTTCAGAGAATGAAGACTGTCAAGAAGTGCACCCTGAAAAACCACGGCCACTTCTCGCAGTCCTTGTCACTCTTTCTGGTGTACAAAAATGGAGAGATTCTTAGTTTGTTGTCGTTTTTAATATTATATTACCTTAAACTTGAGGAATTGACTGACTGGGGAGGTCAGTGAGGTTAAAAGATGAATGTATTCCTATAATGATTAAACACTTACTAGTGAAAATAACATTTTAAGCTGCATTGACAGTTTTAAAAGTTCACCAGAATAGCAGTGTGCAGGAACAATGCATAAAGCATTGATTGGCAGGTGATGATTGTTTTTTGTATATTGCATGGTGTGACAAAGAGAGAGGTTACCAAGGGCTTGGAAAAATCTGACATCATCATGTAAATATTTTTCTTTGTTAACTTTAGCCTGGTTTAATTATAGCAGAAAATTATATTTTATAATACATTTTAATGTAAATAAATAGAAAATTATATCTTAATACCTTTTTAAGAAAATACATTATTTTTATTTTGAAAATTGGTACCTACCCTACACAGTTTCAGCTTTCATAAGCTCATCTTAGTCTATCTTCATAAAATATTTGGTAATTTTTGACTCATTGCACAGTGTATAAAAGGGACCAGTGCATTTATCATTGAACTATGACCATAGATTTACCTACAGCTATTTAGTGCTAACACATTTTGAAGGGTAAAGTATTTCCATACAGTAAGTTTTTAACATGTCCTGAAGGTTTTTGTTTGTTTTTTTTTTTGTTTTCTGTTAAAACATACAAACCAACGAACAGAATAATTTATTCGGCCCTGAAACACTCAAGTGAATTCAAAACTAAAGGTTTAATTCCCCTCTCTTTTCCTTTTTTTCCTTTTTTTGGTCTACAAAAATAGCAAAGAGGTAAATGAGACCAGATTCAAAGTTTTCCAAGACATTATGAGGTGGCTGTTTTCATTGCTTTAGAATTTTGCTGGAAGAGAACTGTCTTTTTCTTTGATGCTTTTGTTTCTGTTGCTGCTCTAAGTCTTCACATTGTTTGCTCTGATAACACCACAGCTTTTCAAGTAAACTGGTGTGTAATTTCTCTAATACATTTTTTCCAGCTACGTGTGAAAGTGTAGAATAATGACAAACCATCACTCATCAGTGTGTCTCTGTGCTTTGTCATTGGGATAGCAGTTTATGTTCATCATTATATAGTTATGCATAATTAATCCATGTCTTCTAATTGATAGCTAATAAACAATTATGAAATTCAAACTCCAAAACATTGATTTGAAAGCTGTAAAATCCTGATGGAAATTTCCATACTGAAGATGTTTATGAAAGTGCTGAGCTCTATTTTCTGTTACAGTTACTGTTTGAAAGAGCAATTTCACAGAGAAATCTGATATAACCCCTCCAGGAATTTCATGTTCATTTCAACTTCAGAAGGAAGCAACCTAGGCATGGCAGTAGAAAACACAAAAAGGTTTTATAGACAAACTTGTTTAGTTTTGTTATTTAGTGTTTGGCTGATGTAGAAGTACATTCAAAAGGAGTTATTACAATATAATGTTTTTGTTTTGTTGAGTTTACATGTAAGAGGTTGATGTGCCTTTCTAAATTAAACTTACTTCACAAGTAAGAGTGAGGCATTAATGCTAGTGAGAATATTAGTTTATATTTATCTTAAGATGAGAAATAGAAAGGGGGAGATTCTACATTGCCTAAACCACTGATGGTTTCTTATATGCAAGATCACACTAAGTTTGCTCTGCTTTGTGGGAATTACTTTTAGGAGGCAATTGTGTTCAACTCTTCCTTATGGGATTGCAGATATGATAAAAACATGCTAAATTCTATTACTTCTTATGCTTACAGATACTCATTTCAAAGAACTTCCAACTCTTCTCCACTGTGCAGCAAAATTTGGCTTAAAGAACTTGGCTATTCATTTGCTTCGATGTTCAGGAGCAACCTGGGCGTCTAAGGTGAAAAATTCGGAGGGCTCAGATCCAGCACGTATCGCTGAAACGCACGGGCACAGAGAACTCAAGGAAATCTTTGAAGACTTTTCAGTAAGGATTTTTTTTTTCCTTTTTATCTCTAAAACTGTTCCTATAAAATAAATATGTGTCTGTGTGTGCACATGCACACTGCTCTTGTGAAAATGACGCTACTGCACCGCTACTTGATAGTGTCAGTCATTGTCTTAAGAAGCATCTTACAAGATGAGTCAACTTGTTTCGGTATTGCTATGAACCAGCTCTGACTCCACACTCCCACGCTAAATAGCCCTTTTGGAAGCTGATCTGGTCTTTCTGGCTTCTACACAGCCTGTTCCATATTGGGGAAGAGATGGTGAGGAGGAAATGAAAACCTATGACCTTACTCTTTTATTCAGGACTCTAAGTAAGACACAATTAGGCAGATGGAATGAGATCAATAGTTATTAGGTTAAAAGAATACATTTTGATAATCATTCAAAAAAGTCTACTCAATAAAAAGTTAATTCACGTTGCTTAAATTTATTTCTCGTGATTCTTTTTCTCTCTAAGTCCCAGATCCTTATTATGTAGGTTGAAGCCCGAAATTTCAGAACACTCTTTGAAGGATATTAGTTTTGTAAGAATGCAACCAAGGGGAGATTTTGAAGGAGGGGATATTACCTTAGTACATAAAACACACTTTGTGTTTCCATAATCAACTTCAGAAAAGCAGTTATTTTCTGTCTGTAGCAAAGGTATGCACATTTTGCTCGAGAAAGTGAATTTTACTTCTGATAGCTCTTTGGAAAATATAATGGAACAATGATTGTGTTGGTGAATATGTCAGAATTTGTCTTTGGGTTCTCAGAAGATAATTTTATTGCCCATGAACAGTTAATATAGAACATTGAAATACTATAAATAGCTTCTGGTCTTTTTAGCATTTATTCTGATTATTAGATTAAGTCAGTGTGATAATGGATTTCTAAAAATCATTGGTATTTGAGATTTCCAGAAAGCAAAATGACAACCAATGTAACTTTTTCCCCCTACTTTTAAGAAATAGGAAAATAATTATTAGAAGGGCATGGATATCATCCACTATCTGAAATTGCAATAGGATATCTTTTGCCTGTATTTAAAAATAAATACAGAAGATCAAGGTTGTAATAAAATTAATAAACTATTAGTCTTTATTCTGTGTCCTTCAAATCAGGAATAAGCATTATTTTTATTCCTAGAAAGATTTTTAGCTAATGATTTTCACATAGACAAGTACATTCATTGTAGTAGTTATCCACGGTCTGTAGTTTGGACCAGTGAACATGGCGTCAGTCTCAGGTGAGTCAGTGAGTCGGTTCAGCCTTGCATGTTTGCCCATAGTGCTGTTATTAAATACCTCCTGGTGCCTGTCTCAATTCGCTACCAACTGTTCTCGAATTTTTAAGTACTGGTGAACTTAAGTTAAAATTTCCCCTGAAAGTCTTCAGCATACATGGTTACTTTCTAAGATAAACTCTGATTTTCAGAGGGATACTTCCATTTCTGGTTCTCCAGTGAGGACTCAGCTTTTGACAGATGCAGCCCCATGCAAACTGTTCCATAAATAACACAATACTGGGTAATGCTGACAGCAGATATGAAAGTAAGTACAAGGGTAGGATTTGATGGATGTGGGAAATGCCTCTTTTTTCTCTCTCACATCCTCTGGATATTTATACCTCTGCTCCTGCAATAATAGCACTGATACTAGATTGCTATCATTGTCTTTAGGTGCCCATTCACTCTTTTATGCTGGCTGCATGCTAATTTTGCAGAGTTATACTAGATAATTATTCTATGAAATTTGTTAAATGATTTTGTATATTTCATCTCTTTGTGAGCTGTTACATTTTGCCAGAATGTCTATAGTAGGTAGACATTGCCATTATAGGTGGGATAGATCAACTATTTTGTGAATGTTCTGCTGTCAGTAAGGAAGTGACTATAGCTGTTGCAAGGGACAGCAGTCTATAAGGGCATTTCATTGCTATTGATAATTTTAGGTACAATAACTTCGCAGGCTACCAAAGGCCTTTTTGCAAACATGTAGTTAAGGAAATGGGAACACATGTATTAGGTCATGACACACATGGAAAAGTATGTTTCCTGGTGATTTATTCTTCTAATTATCAATTTTATTTAAAAGAAATCCATACTTTCTTAGAGAAAGTATGGCAGATATTCACATGCTGACATTATATATTCTACGTTATGGTAGCTATGTCTTTTTAAGAGTATATCTAAACCTGATAGAGAAAAAATGTGCAATCTCATTATGCTGCTAAAATACTTTATTGCTTGTTTAATAATATATACATAGCTTTAGTGTTATAATCACGTTCTGACAAATCTAAGATTGTCACATATGCATTCAAATTTTCCATAAACTATTGTTTTAGAATTATTGAAAGGAGCCAATATTCCTTCAAGTTTAAAGTTTACCAGACACCACAGGACCATATTCTGTATGGAAGAAATATAAGTTTTTAAATTCAAACAACATTTTGCCCCCTGATTTGTTCAATTCTTGCTAATCTTCCATGAGTGAAAGATTTTTCATTTTAGGATCTCACAGGGAGTCACAACACAGTGAATTTGATCATCACTGAATAAAGTAGGTAAAAAGAAAAAGCCAATAATGATTTTTTATGTGTGTGTGTGAGGAAGATCAGCCCTGAGCTAACATCCGATGCCAATCCTCTTTTTGCTGAGGAAGATTGGCCCTGGGTTAACATCCATGCCCATCTTCCTCTGCTTTATATGGGACGCCGCCACAGCATGGCTTGATAAGAGGTGCATCAGTGCGCACCCGGGATCCAAACCTGCAAACCCTGGGCCGCCGCAGCGGAGCACGCGCACTTAACCGCAGCGCCACCAGGCCAGCCTCCGATAATGATGTTTAAAATACAGAAAAAAAGAGAATCATTAGCAAGCATTCGTAAACCAACAAGTGGCATCCATATCTCGGTGTAAGCTATGTGAAAAAGGAGGAGGAAGGAGGAAGAGGAGAAGTAATGTCAAATCACATTCCTTACGTTTCTTCATGATGTTTTTTTCTTTGAGAGGTTAATAACCTATACACAATCTATGAATAGAGCCTATTCATTATGAATGAGTAGCTTTCACATTTTTATAAAATTATCTAGTTAACACCTACACTTCTTTCATGATTTCAATACCGCTATAGATAATAATACCATGTATTTCTATAATCAATAAAGTCTTTCAAATAAACTAATCAATTTTCAGTTTCTGACAATGTCTCCTGGGAGAATTAATATGAAAGGTGACTGGACAAGGAGCCAAAGGGTTGGTTTGGAAATCCACAATTGAGTGTGAACCACAATGTGTTTAACAGAATTCTTGAAGAAATTCCAGACTATTTCAAATAATGAATAGCAATATTGATGATTAATTCACTCCTCTAAAAACTTATCTTTTAAATCAAAAATACCTGAAAAATTGCAAATAAACTGGAACTTGGGCACAGATTAAGAGATACTTTGTGATTTAAGATAAAGTGTACAACAAAAGTTAGAAAGTGTTTTAAGCAAAATAAGTGATATTTTCTTGGATTATCTTGAGAATATCACTCAATCCATCTCCGTCAGTTAACATCAGTGTGTAAATAGACAGGAAAATATGTACTCCTCCCTTGGCCAACTATGGAATTGGGGAACCAACACATGTTTATTTATCTCAGGAACAATGTCCAGACAGGATCTTTTTTCTTCCACCACAGTGTTCATTCATGTAATTTGGTTTATATGTTAATAAGATCTGAATCATAAGTATTCTTCAATTAAATTTAAGAAATAGAAGATCAGCCTTCCATGAACTTTATCTAGCTGGCTTTTCAGGAGGACTCCTGGCTGAGAATCTTTCTGTTGCTCACATATGCGATGAGATTCCTGTGACACCTTGCTCTCACTGATTTACCCCCGCACTGCTGTTTGCCCCTGTGGACAGTGGGTTCATGTGTGTGTGTGAGTGGTGTGTGTGAGAGAGAAAGAGAGATTCTATTGCCCTCTAGTGTCTGGCTGACAATGACCCTGATCTTTTTCAAATGGTCAAGGGTTTGGAATGAAGGTACAGAGGCAGATGGTGAAGCACTTAGTGTATCCCCAGTGATTGACTGACTGGGGTAGAGAACCAGTTATTCAGAAGTCAAGCTTTACGTTTAGGCCACTGAACACTCACTCTTCTAGGCCCTTTATTTTTCTCATTCTTAGCTTTGCTCTTAGCATTGCTCATCTGGTACTTTATACACTATTTGGTCTCTAGTAGATTGTTCCATTTAATTTAGTATGTATTAGTATATGCTGATTGAGTCTAAATGGCAGCATACCCTGCTTTGCCCATGTAATTTTTCTTTCTAGGTCTAGATCTGATCATGGGTCATGGGCTCCCCTGCCCCTCACTGTCAGGTGCACAGGAGGTGCTTGGCATGTATTTTCTAGTTGATGAGGCAGAATGCAAGTGTCAAGTTGAAGGACTTGTTTGATCTCACTTACCCAATAATAGCCTTAACTAGGTCCCATGTTTTAAATAAAATAATTGGTCATATTCTCTCTGTATTCAGGATGTTTTTTAAAGTTTAGTTTTAGAGAATTCATAGACAAATAGCCTAACTGCTATCTTCAGCATATATTTTTAATAGGCCAGCCTAAAATGAATTTTAGAATTCTGGCCTTTGTTTAATATTGATGTTCTGTTAGAACTGGAGAAACTGGAACAAGTCATATAACTACACTTGACTGCATGCATTACAAATTCATGTCTCAGTTATGCTTTGGGGGCTGCTTAGCAATCTCTATCTAAAATTCCATTAAATGCACCACAGAGGCTGTTGCAGAATTTACTCTTCCTCAAGTCCTCAAACCCAGCTTTGATGCCCTGCTTCTGCAGCTCTAAGCATCCTGTTCAACCCCTTCAACTCCCCTGTCCTGTATGTCAGGTTTTCCACTCTTGTCTACTCATAGTGCGTTGGGATAGAGCCAGGTCTGGATTTGAGTCCTGACTTCATCAAGTATCAAGTTTGCATCCTTGGGCAACCTCTTCATTTCCTCTTAGCTTCAGTTTCTTTATCTGCAAATGGGAAAAATAATTCCTCACTGGACTTGATGAAATAAATGGGAAAGCATTAATTATGTAGTAGATCCGCAGTAAATGATATTGCATTCACCTTAGTTTCTTTTGATTTATTGTTATTCATGTGAACTTTAGACCTCGCCATCAATCACACGCTCTCTTTCTTTTTCATCATTAATCTCTCCCATTATACTCTTTATACTTCCATTAGATTCTTCCCTGAACAAACATGTCCACATACACACACACACACTTCCAACAACCTTGCTTTCTCTTCAATCTCTTTTTCAGTACCAGAATTAACTGAAAGAATGGTCTACACTAGCTGCCTCTTCATTTACTCATTTCTTTCCTCCTAACAATCAAAGCTTTGCATTCAGCCTGCTGCTGAAGCTGCTCTGTCAAAGGCCGTGAATAATCTACCCTCTGTCAGCTCTTTTGGATTCCCCTCAGATGTACTTTGGCTCAGGCGTTGGCACTGGTTTCCCTGATCCAGCCCTCTTCCTGAATCTCCACTGACCCCCTGAGACTTTCTTCTCCTACCCCATCAGCTAAGCTTCTTTCTACACAGTCTTCTCTTATGATTGATAACTAAATCATTGCCTTTAACCTGGACCTCACTCCTAACTTAAGACTCGGGTTTCAGTTTGCAAGCTGAATGTGTCCACATGGATATGGTACAAGCATTTAGATCTCGACATACCCAAATGATCCTTTTCCCTCATACCCAGTTAATGGCATAATTATCTGCTTATTGACTTGGCCTAAAACTTCGTTTGCAACTCTTTCAAGATAGTCATAAATGCCACTTATGGAGACTATGTAGCAAACCCTGTGCAAAACTCTCTAATTCCGTTATCTCATTTGAGCTTCCCAATACACATATGAGTATACTTTTTCTCATTTTTCATATGAGGAAATAGACTGATAGAGAGCAAGTAACTTGCCTGAAGTCACTCAGCTAAAAATATGTGTGACTAAACCTTGAACCCATTCTCATAGCCTCCTTCTCCTTCGTATAACCCCATCCAGACCATCAATTCAGTCACCATATCTTAACAGTTGTACTCACATGTAATCTATTGCATGTGTCTCTCTGTTTCCTTCTTTCTGTGGCTCCCTTGGTTTGTATCTTCATTGTCTCTCTTTTGGTCTGCCGTCTTGAAAAGGCCTCCTAACAGATCTTCTTTCCCAGTCGTTGTGGCATCAAACCATCGCATAATAGGCTGCCTACTGAGGACCCACCACTGTGTAGCCCAGCCCACCATTGTAGCTTCACCTTTAATTGTATACCTCAGCCACCAAAGTCCGTTTGTCCTTCCTTCATTACTTTATGTCAAGCTATTATATTTACCTAGAATGCCCTTCCTCCTAAGTAAAATATCCTGATCTCTTAACCATGCCCAAATCTCAGTTCAAACTCCATCTACTCCAGGAAAGTTTCCTAGAAAGAGGCTATAGGTGTGTACCTCCACTGTACACCTCTAATCTCCTTTGTAAATTTTAGCATAATCTAGGAAAAGTATGTGATAGAGGCTGAGAGCATGTGCGCCGGAGCCACCTGTCTGCGTCTAAATATTGGCTCTGCTACTTTATGGACATATACCCTTGAGTAAGTCACAATCTCTCTCTGCTTCAGTTTTCTCAGCTGTAAAATGGAGATTAAGATAACACCGTCCTTTGTAGCATTGTTATGATAATTAAATGTAAGTATGTGTAAAACAGGTGCAACAATACCTGGCAAATAATGAGCACTCAGTAAAAGTTAACTGTTATTATGTATCATTCAGTCTTGGAGGGCCCTTTCTTTTGTGGAACTTCTTATACAGTCATGTGTCGCTTAAGGACAATGGGACACGTTCTGAGAAATGCGTCATTAGGCAATTTCATCGTGGTGTGAACATCATAGCGGGTACTTACACAAACCTAGGTGGTGTAGCCTACTACACTCCTAGGCTATATGGTACTAATCTTATGGGACCAGCGTCATATATGTGGTCCTTCATTGACTTAAACATCATTATGTGGCTCATGACTGTAATTTAAACTAAATACTGGTGAAAGGTTTTTTACTTTTATTTATTTTTTGTGGGTTTTTTTCATGTCTGTCTCTCCAATAGATTATGAATTCCATGAAGCCAGGGGCAGTTTTATCTCATTTACCGCAGTGTCCATAGTACTTAACACAGTTTTTGGCAAATGCTATATGGGTTCACTACATACGTGTTGAAATGATCAGCCAATCAATCAGTGTTGCTTTGTCAACTTCTCAGTTCCTAGAGGGAAGTACTATGCTCTGTTTATTCCATATTCCCCATTGCACTTAGCATGATGTCTTGGGGTTGTAGATAATAAATGTTTATCGAGTAATAACAATAGCAAAGACTCTTCTCCTAAGGAAAAATTTGTAAAAGCTTTATTTGGATAAGTTCATCTAAGATCGGAAATAAATGTTATTTTGCTGTAGTTTTTTAAGAGAAGTGACTATGGGAAAATAAAATTCAGATAGAAGAAACATTAAACTGAAAAAAAAAAAATCTGGTAGCTTCCAGGAACTTACTATTAGTGAAGGAAACGTTTAAAGCTGCTCATTATCACAGTACAAGTGGTTTTGATCTTGGCAAACACTCCAGTGTTTTACTGTCAACACCCACACTCAATCTTCTTGAGACTCTCCAAATCCTCCACAAACAACTTTTCTCTTATCCTGTAAGAACTAGATTCAGGCCAATGCAATGCATTAAAACATTATCCAACGTATTTTCCCATTATTTATCTAAATATCCAGAGCTATTTTATGATTTTATTTTTATATTATTTTTTTACTAAAATGTATTTTCTTAGAGATAGAATATCTAGATTTGCAAGTTTTCTAATTTGTAGAACACCTGTCCTAGCAACATTAGGCATTTACGTAGCAGGTACTGCTTGATAAAGTCTGTGCGTGTTATTTTATTGCAAATGGCAAGGGTGGGAAAGAGATCCTATACTTGTCTTGTGAATATCAGAGAAGTAAGCAGTTTCATTTCATATTTGTTGTTGTCCATTTAATAAATTCTTCAGCCAGTGACCAATTACTGAGCATGAGGATACTATTTATTGCATTTGCTGACTAGTAGCTTAATTACTGTGAATGATTTCAATGAATGATTTTGAGTAGTGGAATTGTAAATACCATAGGTTTTGAGCAAATCTTAAAAAACATTCACATGGAAATACACAGCTATGAAAATATCCTAGATCAGAATGGAGATTGTCATGACTTTTTCTGATTGTGAACATTTGCCATGAAATTGTGAATTGGCTCTTCATATGAAGTCTACTGATTTAAGATTCTTGAGATCAGAGGCCTTGTTTCTGTAACATTACCTGAAAGGCCTCTTAAAGTTCATCTAGCTCAAGCTCCTTCTTGTTGCATATAGATCTGACTCAAGAAAGGAAGAGAAAAAAGAGAAAACAAACTAGCCTTTATTGAGTTCTTCTGTGTCAAGCATTATGCTTGGTACTTTCACATCAGATCCTTATACTAATCTGTGTGATTTAGGTATTTCTACTCCCATTTTACAGATCAGAACTTCAAAGACTGTCATTTATTTGGGGTTATGCACTAATATGGCAGAGCCGTATTTCTCGTCTAAGCCCAACTACTTTTCATTTAATGCTTTTTTTAAACTACTGCGTCTCTCTGTCTTCCTTAAAATTGAATATCATTAACGTATTATCTTTCATTGTTCATCTTTATTTATATTCTGGTGATACGCAGATAACTCTATTGAATGCATTAATTCTATTGAATCTTATATGAAAAAATATGATTGTAAGCATTGAAGCCCAGAAACCAAAAAGGAGAAAAATCTGTCCCTACATGCATGAAAGGGCTTCAATTCAGTTGGGAAATATGTTTAAACTGGAATTTTAAATAGTTTTGTGTCAGTATTTTGATTTTAAAAAGTGACTTATGGTAACCATATAGAAGACTTTTTTCCCCCTCAAAGTGATTATGTAAGAAATAAATTAATATATTATCCTGTATTATAGCATATTGTATTTAAATGCAACAATGTCTAATGGAGCAGCATGCAGTCATTTTTGGTTGGGGTTAAAAGACTTGTCTGGAAAAAAAGCAGCTGTGGGATTTGTAGAGAAGCACGTGGATTCAACTCCTGATTATAATTCCATTTTCACTTAATGGAAAAAGAATATTTCAATGTAAAAGAAAAACATGTACAATAATCCCTCTCCCTCAATCATGAATGCTTAAGGCTGAAGGCCTTTGGTGGCAGTGTACTCAAGGAAGCAAAGTACCTCAGGCAAAAGACATTCTCATTGGTGCTGAACTTGTTCCTGATAAAGTGATCGCTAGTGTCCCAGCACGTGATGAAAAAGATGAACATAAAAATGTCCAAAACATCCTCATAAATGTTAAAAGACCCCGAAATGGAAGGCAGTGTCATAATTGGAACAAGTGAAATCACATGGAATTTTTCCTAAGAAGATAAATAATGAGCAGAATTTACATAATAAGCATTTAATGGGAAAACACGAAGGATGGGTCGGGGTGGGAGGAGTGGGATGTGCAGCTGTGGGGAGAAGGCAGAGCACGCGTAAGCTCCGACTTCTTAACCAGAAAGCCTTGTCATGTCATGTGATTTTTTTTCATAGAATATATATTATCTGTTGATTTGTTTACAAAAATGACCTGGGAAGGACCTTGCATATATTTTTTAAAAAGCTTTGATGTTTAATATGGGATTTTAATAAAACATATACCAAGAAATGTTTTTAGTGCTCAAAAGAGCTCATATACACATTCATGGTAGGTATTTAAAAACCTAGGCAATAGGATTTGTTTTTTACTAAAAATAAAAGTGAAAAATGCGATGAAATTAATCAAGATGCTTTTCTTTCCTTTAGTCTGCTCTTTTTGTGGAAAGATTCTGTTTTCTAAATGTCTGTCATTATTTATCAATTCAAGGGAGAAAAAGAATAAAACAAAATAGCCAAAAAAAACCAAGATTGCCATTTATTGGTGTCTTTGATTTGATGCAGACTACCATAAAGTAAAGACACAGAGAGCGAGCAGTTACCGTTTAAAGGAATCATTATTATTATAGTCCAAATTATTATTAGTAAAAATAAAAGTAAAATTTTTGAAAACAGATTTGTTGACTTTTAATAACTTGTGTCTGTTATCAACTAAGGCAACTAAACATCTGCTAAAGATCTACTTTGTTTTTCCTACTGTATTACTTATATATCTACTTTTCTAAGAATTTAATGTGATTCTTATTCTTTATTCAGTTCTTATTGTTTATTCTTTATATATTCAACTTGAATATATAAACAAGTTAATATTTTAAGAACAAAATATACCATCATACATCCATTTTAATTTCTGAGAAATGACACAGATTTCATTTTTGTTTCTTAAAATAATTAGGATATGAATGCCACTTATAAATCAACATCTCCATTTTAAGGAGCTCACTAAATCAGAAATTTCTTATTAGTGTATCACTTATCTGTGCCAAGCGAAGGTTTTGCCTTTATAGACTTCAATCTGCTGTTAGTAGATCCTGTCCCTTTTTGTAGATCTAAGTCTAGGCATGCAATCTGATTAAAGCATGCAGAAGACAAAATTCCATGATAAGTATATAAAACATAATACATACCTACTTTCTTTTATGTAGCATTGATATATCTCAAACCAATAGTGGTACAGAAATAAATAAATTTCATATTTGGTACATTTCAATGAGAAAATGCATTCATTTACATTTTTCTTTTAAAAATAGTGCATGGTTATTTTAGAATATTTGGAAAATACAGAGAAATATAAAGGTTGTTTATAATCCCACTGTCTAGAGATAAGCACTTCACACATTTTAATATGTTTCCTTACATTCATCTTTGGATATTTAAATAAATTTAAGTGACTCAAAACCCATTTTTTAGCTAGGAGGCTCTCATATTCTAATTATCCCTAGAAATTTTGGGGTAAGAGATTTCTTACGTCTTTCCTAATAGTGCCTGGCTCCGTGCTCTGGCTTCTTTCTTATACTTTCAGGTTCTGGATGGTAGCATCCTCCTCCAGCTCTCCCAGCTTGGACGGTGTTGACCTTTTCTCTACATTCCCACACAAATGCCACTCATGGAAGACCTCTGTGTGAACAGCAAATTTCACTGTAGGTTTAGGGCCATGAGCGAGTCTCACTGTAGCAATGACCTTGGCATTAATCCTCGCCAATAATGATCAGCACTTTTGCCTCCAAACACTCCCCCAAAACAGGCCTTATTATTTCTCTGCTCTTGCAAAGAGTTTGGTCATCTTATTTCATTCTTGTCAATTTATGTCCTTAAAATATCATTTTCCTTCTTCAAAAAATTTATCACGGAATTCAAAGAAAGTCCTCTTTATCCCTAAAAAGAACCCTGGTATCAGCTGTTAAGGTACATATATTTGCTACACATTATTTTTACAAACTTGCTATATTGTAAAAACATTTTATATTCTGTTGTTTTAATTTAAAATTACATTCAATTCCTTTATTTATTATTACATACTCCTTGTAAACCGGATAATCTAATTTTTAGTAGAAATATTACATGAGGTGAATCCTTTTGGAGACAAACCCAAGAGGCTGCTACTTGGAATCGCTCGCCTGGCACTTCCTCAAGATGATTGTCAGAGAGGGATCACTGAAAATTCCAACACCTGCGCCAACGAGCAAGCACAGCCCTGACTGAAAAGTGTTAGAGGATTTGAACAAGTTAGAAACCCAAATGGTGCTTATCAGGAGCAAGGTAACAGGTGTTGGTGAATGAGGGCCACAGCATGGAGGACGGCCCCAAGGTTGGAGATGTGTGCTGAGCCAACAGAAGCAGAAAGCCTCTGAACGTCCCTACTGAGGACAGGACAGCCCTACATCCAGGAGCGGCAGCTCCACGTGGGCCTCTTCACGTTCTCTGACTTTAAGACGAGAAGGGCTTTTCCCTGATAAAAATTTGCTTCCCTAGTTTGGGTTTATTACCTGCCTTACAAAACCCGTACTTCCAGGGAGTAATCCATGACTGACTTGAGGAAAGGAAAGAGAAATAGTAACATTTAAGAGTACTTAGCAACAATATTCATTTAATCACATAATGTGCTGCTTTGATAATGTTTCGGCCTAGACAGGCATTACCACAGACAAAGAGGAGAGAGATTTAACCTAATACTTATTTGATATTGTTTCAATATGATAAGTGATTAAAAAGTGAAAAATTCAGTCAACTGATGGATTGTTTCATATACGTGATACTAAAGTTTATTAATTAGTCATTAAAATTTTGTATAAATGTCTTAAGTTTTAGAAATGGCAAATGCACTAAAACAAAAGTTCTCATTGTTTTGATTTTAGAACTTGCCTAAAATGTGCCCATTGAACTCTAAAATCAGATAAAAGTGTACGGGGGAAAAAAGAAAGAGAAAGAGTGGAGCGACAAGGTGAGAGAAAGAAAGAGACATTTGTATAACAGAAGAAATGGGTGAGGCAAGTGTCTGTGGTATTTCTGCCTACTCTGTTATGCTCAGAAAATACTTGATTTTTAATTAAATATTTCTTGATGTGTTTCTTTACACAGGTTGCATGCTCAATGCAACATATAGGAGACGGCTTAATTCAGACCAGAGAAAATGTGAAAGTGATTTTCCAAATTTATTTTATGATCTATGAGTTATTAAGTGAGAAAATTGTCCTTAGGCTGTACATCAATAGAATGACCATTAGGAAAGACATTTCTCCTGGCTGCTAAGTCCAGTGAGCTGCTTAAAATAGTCTATCCCTGCAGTGGTGTTAGTTTGGTTTAACAGAGTCAAGCAGAAATCCTATTTGTAATTCTCAGTAAGAACTGCTCACAGATGTCACGGCTGCTGTTTTCTGTGTTGCTACGTAATGAATGATTCATATTTTTATAAAGTTCCTAGAAGAGCTAATCTTTACACACACATGATATAACCCTAAAAAAGTTTTCCTGGGTTCTTATCCCTTACTCTGTCTCCGCACAGAAGGCAGCAGAAACACCGAGGGTCAGGACAGCACCCAGATGGTCTCCATGCAGCACCATCCTTGGGGAAGGAGGCCAGCACCACTGGGAAGAGCACGAGGAGTGAAATGTCAGAATCGCCCTTGAGTGCTTTCCTTTCCAGCTCAAATATCAAACAGATTATTGTGTTATCAGTTTATATCAGCCTAGATGAATTAGCTCTTAACTACAATGAAGCAAAGATTTTGTAACACAAATATAATGAATGTTTTGTTTCCAGTTTTTTGAATAGGCACAATGTATTATCTCCATGATTCAGGTTTTCTACGTCAGAAATACTATCTTCTCATAAAAAAGGTGCACACTCATTTCTCCTAAGACAGATTTTTGTCATCCTTCTTATAACAGGGTCTGTTCTTTTCTCCTTTACTTCATAATTGTGAAGTAAATATTTTTACTCCAATTGTATAATCAATATTTTTTAAAAGTATTTTTTTGTTTAAAAAAATGGTTTTAAGAATTAATGACTCTTTTGATAAACCTAGAGGGCACTTTTGTCCTAGCAACAGCTGAACCCTGAGAAGTAAGGCCCCACCACCGCAGACGGAGGAGAATCTTAGCCTTTTGAGGAGATGTCATAATTTCATTCCTAAATGGGGTTTATCTTGCAGTATTTATTTGAATATCTACTTATCCTCACTTTTTGGAAAACCTTCTTTACACCCACAGCAAGCCCCTCAGTCTACAATTTAAGCCCTTCTCCCACTGGCCTAATCTCAGAGTTTATGGAAAACAGCTGGGGTGGCAAATTCAGTCACAGCAAATGTGTATTTCAGAAGAATTTCTAATATCTCTGCTCTGATCTTCATTGTTCCAAATGCCATTGCTGCTTGGAGTGCAGCCATGGTGTATGAGAACAAGCAACAATATTATTTTGATTACCTATTGGCTCAGTAGGTAGTGATTTTAATACTTATTAAGTTAAAATTAATTGAATACCCACAGGTAACAGGGCAATTCATGAAGGTAATAGAAGTACTTATAGGTTATATATGTGCTTAAGTTCCTACCCAATAGAGATCATCAATACATCATTAAAATTTTTTTAAGATTGAAACAGTATTGCATTCTAGACAGATAATTCGTTATCTTTGATGTATTTACTTCTAAGATGCTGGTGGTCTCCAGTATGCTAACAAGGGTCACACTTCTGCGTGTGGTGGCTAAATGGTCTGTAAGTCCCTCGGAGTCCTAAGTTTTTATAATTCTTAGACTTCTGATTTCTCAGAAACCTTCCAAACTTGAGTTCTTTTGTTTTCCTCTGGCTTCTTTCAAGTCCGTTAGCTTGTGTAGAACAGAACAGTCTAGAGCTGTCGCACGTCTACCGGTCAAAAGGCAATGCAGTCTCAGCGAGGGCAGAATTCATCACAAATGCTGATGAGAGCAATCGGTATGGACACCACGGCTGTAGAGAGGAGCCCTTGTCAAATAAACACAATGGCGTTATGCTTTCAGAATGAAAACATGCAAAGGCAAATTAATTAACATTTCATTGGGAAAATGTGAGTCTTGGAAATTCTCTATTAATTGGCTTTGAATTTCAACATTCTTGTTGCTTGAGGACAGAAAGGGGTGTTTAATATAATCCATTGTAGACTGGGTATATACTTTTCCACTGGTATTGTGCGTGGTTTCTACTTTAAATTTATATAAAGGTCTCTCCAATGTCAGATTACATACGAGAAAAGTGCAGAACTATGTATTTTTTTTAAAAGGAGTATTCATCAAATATATTAGCTCTGAGCCAAGCAGTATGATTTCTTCTTCATCTCTCCTTATGTAGCAACACCTTCCTTGTGATATATATGGATGTGAGAAATTAAAGATTATGTCTGACTTATTTTGCCTCTAAAAATATAGTATAAAAGGAAAATGGATGGTACCCGTTGAAGGCTAAATTTTGGATTTGTTTTAAATAAATTAATCAACTCTTGCTTGAGCCAGAAAATCAATGGTCTCTCCAATTTTAGTTTAGCAAATCAATTTATTGTTTGATTCAACAAATAGTTATTGAGTACCTATCAGGTGCCAGGTATTGTTCTAAGCAGGGGCAATTAATAGACTGAAACTTCTGTCATCATGGAACTCAAAATCTAATGAGAAAAAAGACGTTATAAAGCAAATAAATAATTAAGATATACGGTGTCAGATGGACATTAGTGTGTAATGTCCAAGAAGAAATAGGAAAGACCACGTTGTGCAGGGTGGTGCGTGGGAGGAGTTGGGGGAGGCAATTTTGAAAGGAGTAGTCAGAGAAGCCCTGGCCGAGCAGGCAGCCTTTTGTAACAACCTGCAGGCTGTGAGGGCCATGCAGATATCTGGGAGGACACTGTTCTAATAAGGGAAAACAGCACAGCAAATGCAGCGGCCCTGAGGTAGATGTGCCTGGCATGTAATGTGCCGGTATTTTACAGGAGAGCCAACAATTTAGATTCTTTGGTAATGGAATGTGAAAGAAAGTGAGTAGTTACTGATGTCTCCAAGGATTTTGGTGGAAGCAGTGGAAGGAATGAATTGCCATGAACTGAGATGGGGAAGATTGTGTGAAAAACAGATTTTCTGGGGAAGATCAGTAGTTTGGTTTTGGACAAATTAAATTTGAAATGCCTAGTAGATATTTCAGAGTGTAGAAGTTGAGGTGATGGGGGTACCAGCAGAAAAGACCAAGAATGAGCAGCCTTTGAGGTGGGAAGAAACATCAGGAACTCTATGACCTGGAAACCAAATGAAAAAAAAAATTTCACAGAGGAAGTAGTGGTCAACAGTGTCAAATGCTGCTGACTGATAGGTCACCTCAGTAAGGACAGAGACTTGACCTTTGGATTTAGCAATGTGGCCATCAAGAGCAGTTTGTGTGAAGTGCGTGGAGAGCAGGGGTGCAGTCAGAGATGTGGGAGAGGTGACAAAGCCGTGACATGATTAGAGAGGGTCAAGAGAGACAGGAGGAGTGGAACTGGGGGCTAGTGAGGATAGAGCAATTGTTTGGGGTGTTTTACTGTAAAGGTAAGCAGAGAAAATGTACTGTAGCTAGTAGGGAACAGGGGGTTAGTAGAGGTGTTTGTTTTTCCTCTTTTTTTTTTTGCTGAGGGAGATTCACCCTGAGCTAACGTCTGTGCCAATCTTCCTCTATTTTGTATGTGGGTCGCTGCCACAGCATGGCTGCCCATGAGTGGTGTAGGTCTGTGCCCAGGAACTGAACCCAAGCTGCTGAAGCAGAGCATGCCAAACTTAACTACTAGTCCATGGGGCCGGCCCCAGTTTTTCCCTTTTTTAAAGACTGAAGAAATCACATGCTTGTATGTTACTAGCAATGACCAATAGGGAGATAAATCTTAATGATTCTGAAAAAAGAGAAGAGGCACTGGCCACATGTTTTTGTTTGTTAAACAGGACAAGAGAGATGCTGATATAAAGAATATTTGTGTGCGTATATTTATATGTGTATATTTATCTATTTCTTCTTAAAAATTAATCATAATAAAAAATCTTTCCAGATATTGAAAAGATGGAACAGTGAGTCATTGTGAGAAGAGAGAGATTAAAATTTTCTAATGAAGCTTGAGCACTGTGATGCTTTGGGAATGATTCTGGCGAACAGTTGACTCTAATTTAGCTTGTCCCGAGTACGTCTTATTAGCTGTTTGTGGGAACAAGAGTGAAGCACAGTTCTAGATCAGACACATTTGCTGACGTGTGGTTAGGAATCCCGGATGAAAATCTCCAAGGGGAGAGTCTCCAACTGGTGTGAGTGTCTTGGAGAGAAAGTGAACCGTCAGGGGGAAAAATCAGAGCATTTTCCTCTGTCAGACATGAATGTCCACTCACATGGACAAATCTCAAATTCATATCCTTGATTTGAGCCTATGGCTGAGACTTCAGCCCAAGCAAGCACACTCCTCCTTTTATTAGTGTTTAATTTGCTTTTCTCAATACTGTTGAGTCCACTTATTCAAATCTGGCTCTCACTAAAACATCAGTAAGCCAATTAATCCATTTCCTTAATGAGAACTCTCTATTACAAGAATGGGTAACTGCATAGACCTCTATTGAATCTATCAATCTTGCATTTGATGAGGAGAATGCCAATTATCTGAGAAATCTGGTTCATTACCGAGTATTGGACTGCATTGCTGAACAAGCCTGCAGCTCGATTATAATAGCACTGTGGGGTGGAGGGCTTGGGGGTGTTGCTGTGCTGAGGACCTGTTGTGTAAGAGGTTGGGCTAGAAGCTTTACGCACATTCCCTCATTCCGGTTCCCCACTGCTCTCTGAGGAACTGCCACTTATTTTACATTTTGGGAAACTGAGGCTCACACGTTGGAGAGTTAGTGAACTGTGGAACCAGAATCCTCATCAAATGCCCTCCAAAAATGATGGTTAGCCATAAAAACAGTAAGAACCTACTAACTTTAGTGCCTCACTAGGTGAATTCTGTAATGATTACAATGATTCTTTCCAATTTTAGCGTAGACTGTAAGAGTGGAAGAGAAAGGGAATGGATTTTGTATCAGCACAAAGGAAGCCAGACTGATCTGCATTTAATAATAATAAGTACTCACTGAGTGAGCCGGCTCCTCTCCTCCAATCTTCTTATGTGTTCTTTTCTTGACATTCCAACCTGATGCCCATCTAATGCTGCTGAGTAGAATGTCAACCTCGTCATCATATTTCTATCATTGTAATCATTCCCACATATTTATTGAGCACTCATTTTATATCTGGTATGATAGGGTTGTTAGAGAAAGAAGGAGAAAAGAGAAAACCCTGTACCTTTATTTCTCTCTGAAATCTACTTCATTAAATATCAGAATGTTGTAAGGTTCAAGTTATGTATATGAAGGGCCTTTGGAATTTGTAAAGCTTTAGTGATGTTTTTAGTATTATTATCATAATTTTTTAACTTCTCTATGAACATATTGTAATATTTCAATCACTTTGTGAGTGAATTATTTTAACAGTTTTTTCAATTAGAAAAATACATATGTGACACATGAATATTCCATATTATGAATTTTTTCTATTTAGGATATGGCTCCTGAAGTAAATATAAGAATTAACATTCATCAAATTTTTTCCTTAACTTCATATACTATAACTTCCCCTCAGATAGGGAATGAATATGTTTATGATGTTTTCTGATAGTCTGCCTTCTACTCATCAAGTCAATAGAGGTCTTCAATTCACAGGAAGATTGGAGTGGCCATGACACTCATGACACGAGGGCAGCCTGGCATTGGGCAGCATTTTGCTGCTGTCCCAGCCCTTCCTGGGCTTACATTCTGCTTGGTTGTGGAGAGATAGTAGGTGAATAAACAAACACGGTCATTTCAGAAAGTGATCAATGATGTGAATATTTTTAATTAAAAAATAAAATTCAATTGGAATCTAGTTATAAAAAAGAATGGAAATTTGTCATGCCGTGCTCAATATCACGTTATAAATATAAACCTCCACTTGATATTAGGTTTCATAGTATCTTCACAACAATCATGTATTAATATAATTAATATATTAATAAACTCAAGCCTAGAATCTATTTGCTTTATCACGCTATAAATTTGATGAGAGTATATCAGAGTTTGTAATTACATGTTAATATATGTGGATATTTAGTATCTCTCCCACGGAACTGTAAATTCCACGAAAGTATATGTTTGTTCACTGTTCTAGCTGCCATGCCCAGCACAGTGGCTGTCTCAGAGTAGATGCTCTCTCTCTCTCTCTGTATATCTGTATATCTCTGTGTATACATATAACCTCATATCCAGTCTCCAGCAAGCAGTTAAGTACTTTGGAAAAAGTTAGGAGGAGTCATAAATAATAAAATCAGCAAAAAGTTATGCAGAACTTGCTATGTACTGGTAGCTATTTTTACTGCTTTCTGCTAACAGCTCTGTTCTGTTATCCCTGTTTTAAAGATGAGGGAATGAAGCACAGAGTGGTTAAGTGACTGCCCAAGGTCACACAGCTGGTAGGAGGTAGAGGTGGGGTTTGAACCCAGGCAGGGTAGCTGTAGCTTGCGTGCTTTAACACTGCACTAGACTGCACCTCAGTCCTTAGGAAGGGCACACTTCACCTTTTTTGGTGTGTTCTCTAACAGCTTATCCCACTATAGATCTGACGGAAGATCTTTCTGCATAGAATTATTGCAGTACATCACAAAAGATTCAATTCAGGTGGAAGTCTGTGTCCAAATTCAGTTTCACCTGTAGTCTATGCAGATGGACTAAAGTGCCTCTAAGAATATAGAAAAAGAAAACACCAAATCCTAGTTTTAGTTGGTCAAATTAGGTTAGCTAATGGCTGTTATATGCTTAGCTTTCTGCCACTCTCCTTTGCTCTTTTGTTGAACTATTATATAACTAGTTTTACTGACTCTCAAGAGTATTGTGGTGGTTAATTTTATGTCAACTTGAGTGGACCATGGGGTGCCTGGATAGCTGACCAAACATCAAATGG